ATTGAACTAACTAAAGGCTTTTATAACATCTTCAAACTTTTGCAGTTTTGTTTTTCTTTTTCCTGGAAAACTAAGCAAAATTATTCACAGCTGGTAGAGAAATTGGGCTGGTCATCCCAGTAAACACTGTGTGCGCTAGCAGCTGTAACTGTTGTTTTCACTGCATCAGAGAGATCAAGCAAACGAAGCTGCAGCTATTCAGACTGTTTGTCTCATTAGGAAATAGAAGAATCATATGTTCAGAAATGCATTCAACTCCCATAGCAGCAGTCGGCTGCAGTGAAACAGGGGATACATTTTGCTTTTGCTCTGAAATTTGCCTATTCTGACGCACTATTGCCATGCACACAGACTGACAAAGTGCTGCCAGAGGATGTAGGAAGCAGTGGGCTAGTCCTGCCAGCTTTGGGCTTGCCACGTGCACAGCTGTGGTACCTGAGCTCCTTACTGAAAAGGTTCTAGTAGTGCCAATAGGAATTTGGGATTCCTGCTTCCCTTCATAATAGCCATGATGTATGCAAACCATTTTCCCATTGAGGCCACTGGGAAGGTGCGAGGATGAGCCTGTCAAGAGCAAGAGGCATTACCCGGGTTCATCCACCCCACTGTGCTCAGTGCAGCATCCTTCACCTTCCCAGCACAGCGCTTACCAGCTGCTTCTGCCACCAAGGGGCCATGAAAAAGGAGTTCGAAGGATTACTACTCCTTGTAGACTAACCCCAAAACCAAAGAAGGAGCTAAGAGACTTAAGGAAAAAATGGACAGATTTTTTTTGTATTCAATCAGAATTTTTTTTTCAGTTAAGCAAACAACCCCTGAAACCACAAAAACCTCACTCTGATCAAGAAGAGGTGCATGAAAGCCACTTCAAGAGCTGGACCTGCTCTAAGACCACATTTCTTCTTCAAGACATCAGCTGTCATTTATGAATTTTATTTTAAAAACTAATTTCTTTTAATCATCCATTTAGAGCTGAGATTGTCTGGTCAATATTTAATTACGGTACTCTTCTATTTTCTTTGTGGTATTTCAGAGTATTACTTCTCTAGGCAATCTATAGTCTTCTAGTTTCTTTAAAACTGAAGTTTTATTTTCCCAGGACAGGCTGCTTTTGGCACTGAAGCCAATGGTAAAATTTCCTCAAAATTGAGATTGAACACCTTTCTATTTAACTGTATAGCACCTTCATGGATTAGACTTTTATGAAATACCACATTTGATTGACTTTTCTGATGGAAGATATCCCTGCCTGTAGCAAGGGGGTTGGAACTAGATGATCTTTAAGGTCCCTTCCAACCCAAACCATTCTATGATTCTATGATTTGTATTTTGCATTACCCATGCAAAACAGTATGATGACATAAACACGTAATCAAATTATTCCGGAAATGTGTTTTCTCTTAAAATGTCACAATCACAACTATGGGATGTATGTAAAAAAATTAACTTGCAAAAGAAAATCAAATACAGTAACTAGGCAGAATCAATCCATGCTTTTATTTCCATTGCATATAAAATTCCATATGAAGGTATTGATGTACAATACTATCCCCTAGGCTGTAAGAGAGGCCAAGAAACCAGTGAAGAAGAGTCATGTGCAATGTTCACACAAGTTGCCACTTTCAAGACATACTCAAACAAAAATTCAAATTAAAACAGTAACAAAAAATTGTTCAGATTTCTGGTATTATAGTGTCCCTTTTATACCGTTTAAAACAAAAGCAATCTATTTCCTTTGGGCCAGGGCTGCTAAAATCTACAGTTTGTGTCAAAAAGGAGGCTTTGTTTTTCCTTGAAAAAGAATCTCTCCTTTCGCAAAGAAGTCACATGCTACAAGGGCTGGGCATCGCTGGAATGGAGGAGAGGTATCGACCTCGCTCTGGTGAATTCATGGATACCAGCTCTACGTAGTCTGGAGCAACACGGCAAGTCAAACAGCACGAGATGCTCAGTCCAACCTGCAAACCTAAACACTAGTGTTATTAACAGATCTAAAGGTTTACCACTCTCCTGTAGATCTAGTGCATTATGCTACACCTGTACAAAGCCTTAGATACATCTATATAAAACAAAACTTTGGCTGCTTATAACACTAATACTGGTGTTGGAAAGCATTTCTAAGATTAAAGCTGTCTTTTGTCCTACTTCATGGAACCTGCTTACACAGTGATAATTTGTGCTACTAAAGAAAGGAATGATATTACAGATGATTGTAAAAGTGCATGAGTTATCCCCTTTTAATTGCAATCATTCCATTTCTGAACATGCATTAAAATCAAATACTTATTAGAGATGCTTTCCAAAGCTGTTTCAGTGCAATTCAGTACTGAAATATAGCGTCGATTTATTTTTCTTAGGAGCAAAAAACGGCTGCAATAATCCCTGATGATAGCCTGTAAAAAGATAATCAGAGAGGCAATAGAATTATATTGCCAGCAGTCTGGAAAAGCTTGAAATTCCAGTACGGTCGTGAATGAAAGCTTATTGTAGTATTATTAGCTATCAGCTTGTACGAGTAACCTCATCAGTTAGCAACTAAAAACGTAGTACAAATGCCCAGCCCTAGCTCCACAGCTACCTTACTTTCAAATGCAGCAAAACAGAAGAAAATATTGTTAAAAGTTAAGGCACAGCCCTGGGACCAAAGACCTGCAGCTTTTTTTGTTGATATATCTTTATGTATTTTATACTTTTCTTGAATCTTCCATAAACAAGCTCTAAGGTGACACAGAATATATTAGAGGAGAAAAAAAATGTACAAGGAATATGTATACACAATAATCATTCTCTCACCAAGAGTTTCCAAATATAGCAACACCACCCTGACAAGGATGATGTTATAATAAGAACTGATAATTTACAATTAACATTACAGTATGTACATTACAATAAATACATGGTTGTAAACAGAGACAAACAAGACTGTATTACAGGTAAGGTCATTTGGTGAGAAAAATGCATGGCACGAATAAAATAAATAACGCATTTGAAAAGAACTGTCAAAGCTTTTTGTAAAATCCATTTCATTCAAGTTTTTTAAACTACTGAATGCTATTTGTTCTATCTATATTCTTTCATTATTGTTTTTTAATAATGACACAAAACAATTTAAGAATTCAAATACAGCATTACTGAGTACAGTAACTTGCAAGCTAAAGTGTACTGTTGTAAGCAAGGTGAATTTTCTTTTTTCCCCCACTCAACACCACTCACTGCATTTTCTTATGGCAAAAATATTTAGAACACATAAAGCCACTTGTAAATTGTATTGTTTTAAAGCAGTGTGCAATGCTAAAACACACTTTGGCAAAAAGAGGAAAAAAAAAAGATTGTACAGTGCATTATATCCCTGGCTCTAAGAAATGATATAATTTTCTTATTTGATTGTCCACATGTACGGGTGCAATATCTCACAATATGGTGTTATTCAGTTACTTTCAATTAGTGCAGATACAAAACCTTTTCATGTCCCTATTGGTTATTTTGGAATTTATATTGCTTTTCCATTATTAAGGTTCCAGGCACTCTTGGGGACTGAAAGGATTTTTAGAGTGATTAGGTTCAGGAAGAAATGATGAAGAACAAGAAAAAGAGTCAAAATCTGAAAAAAATCCATGAATTCTCTTCATTCCCTTTCCTCCTTCATCTTAGCATCTTCTGTGCTAAGGCCCTGATAGGGCTAATGGTAGAGAAAACTATTACTGGATATAGAAGAATGCAAAATATATTTAAAAGCTGAATTATTAGCCAATCATTTTTAAACGGGTTTTTATTCTATATCTCAGACACTTATAAAAACCCTGGTATTCATATGGGCAAATTTACTACAAAATTAATCCAAAGAGGAAATAATGGCTGTTGCCATCTTCTTTTGTAAGGAATCATCCTGGTATTGTCATTTCACAAGAATTTTACAGAGTGGGAGTCTGCTAGCTTCCCTAGGCAACTGTTTCTCATCTTCTATGCTCAAAACTACAATTTTAATGAAAAGTAAAGCAAAGGAAATAAAATTCCTCCTTCTTTCACATGACCAAACAACAGGATTGGAAAATGACAAATATGAACTCCCACCTCCATTTAACTTTCCAAGTTACAGAAGCTTTCAGTACCAACCAAACTGAAAAGCAGGATTCCCTCAGCACAAGCTGGATAAAGGACGAAAAGATCTGAGATTGAAATAATGTGAAGTAAACAACTCTCATGACGCATTGCTCATTCACTTAAACGCAAAAATAAAAGACTGACCTGGCTCTTCTTGCAACAAAGCCATGAAAAATAACGTCAATCATTATTTTTATGTTGTACGCATCTCAGATTAGCAAATGGTTTAACTAGATAGCTGACACAGATAAAAAGTTACTACGGGAGTCAAAACTGGAAATATTACAGTAACACTTTTTTTTGCCAGAACAAATACTCCATGCATTGCATTGGCCTCTTCTGATTTAGCAATGCATAGCTCCCAGCCAAAAATGGCCTGGAAACCATGTTTCAGAGGGACTGATTTTATTAGTATAGCAGAAGAGCTACTTTTGTATTAAGATGACAATTCATTACCTTTCTTATGGGCTCTAATCCTGCAAATCATCATCTTAGTGGTCCCAGTTGGTTTCACTGGGACCACTTCTTGTAGTAAGACAGAATTAGCAGGATCAGGCCATTATGAGGGCAAATGCACAATGTAAGTTCCTCTATCACGTCTGGGAAAATTGTGATGAAAAACAAACAAAAAAGCCGTCATACTGAAAGCATTTTATGTAACATAAAGGATATTAATGGAACTCACTAATATATATAAAATAATAGACTTTTACTGCTCAATATTACCATGAGATTCTAAGGTGCAAAAAAAAAAAAAAAAGAAGGAAAGGGAAAAAAACCATAGCAGTATTATCCAGTGTAGCACAGATTTGTACTGAAAACTTGCAAGTTACTCTTCGGAGAAAAAAAAAAAATAACCAGTGGCAGATGAAGTCTGAAAGTGTTTTTTCATTAAATATAATACCTCAGTACATTTAATAATAAAAGTAAGCTCTACAAAAGATCTCTCTCTTACATATTATACAAAATGCAGAGGTTGGTGCAACCCACTGGGTCGCACTATTTTCAGTCACGTATCAGGAAGACTTGAAATAAGAAAATTATGTAATTTCCACAGCTCATCTTCCTATTGGTAACAGAATCGTGTTGTGTCCCATCACTTATGTGCATTTGTTTTCCAGTAGGAACCTCAGTTTATTTTCTGTCTGTTTCCTCTCATGATGAACATTATCCAATGCTTTACTTGTGAAATAAAATGAATTCAAAACCTACCAAAGCATACCAGCATTCGGTTGGCAGGTGGTACTGCTCTGAAAACATCTGCTTTATTTATTCAAATCTGCCAAATGGAGACCTTATTAAAGTGTAGTTCATGGATGTTCTCCCCTCTGCTTTCTGATGCCATGGAGGTGAAAATTCTGGTTACAATATTCCTGAGTGCCAAACTGAGTCATCAAGGTCAGTTTTGATCAACAAACGTCCTGGCAGATGACAGTGAGTTGTGACCATGGTTGTAGCATCCGACATACACTTTGGAAACCATTACCTAACAAAACCAAAACCAAAACGAAACAAAAAAAAAAGACAGAGAGAAAGAGGAAAAGAAAAGGAGAGGGCAAAAGAGAAAGAGACTGCGTCTTCATTGTTACGTGTCAGGAGAATGGTCTTCTACCACACAAGGTTCTGTCTGGTTCTCCTCTTCCACTACTTCTTCCCCTACTTGCTCATCAAGAGGGATTTCGGTGGATTCTGAATCTTGGGTGCAAAGTGTCTTGGAGTCACTGCAGCTGGTGTCTTCTTCTACTTGACTTCCACTGTCCTTTTCGGTGTCTGACTCACCATCTTCTTCCAGTGTTAGTTCAAACTGGAATTTTTCGGTTTGGCCCTGCCTACCCTCCTCCTGGTCATCAGGTGCAGGAGAGGGACTTTGAGGGATTGTGCTCTGGTACCATTCTCGATTGTCCTCCAGTGTATCTAAGATATCCTGGGCGTCCGGGTGAACAAGATCTGCCCATGTCTCCCACAGAGGATGAACAATGTAGTCTATAAAACCCACCTGTTTCATATGATACAAAATTAGGATAAGCTCTTATTCACAAAGGAATAAACAACTATGCCTATAAGTTACACAAAGCATGAGAAATACAATGCTAATAAGAGACACCAGATGCACTACCCTTAAAGGTGGCTGAAAGGGAACAATGCTGTTTTATGTAGTAAATAGGGCCTTGTACATTTTCAAAAGTCTGATTCAGGATATTGGACAAGGACTTGGAAAGGATTTGTTTTCAAAGGAACTGTTCATTCCAAACAATTCTACTGCATCTAGTGAGCCAAATGGCTGCTTTATATTTAATTCTGCTTTTGAAGGAAAGCCTAATGAGCAGCTGTACAATACTCTCTTTTGACTTGTATGCTTCATTGCAGATCACGACAGCGGTGGAATCCCTTCAGCAAATGCACTGCCATGCACAAAGTTTTCACAGTAAAAATCTAAGCTCCTCTCACTTACTACTCAGGAGCTGAACTAATTAACTGGGAGGGGCAAAGGGAAACAGTGCATTCAGAAATTAACCAAAGAGTGGCCATGGATCACGCTTTTCTGTTAAAATGTCATACTGTGTTATTTAACTGCCTACTCAAATCAATTACCTGTGATTTTTCTACAGATGCATTGTGCTTATCACACATGGGACTTATCTCCATTCCTCTCTCTCTTTCCCGATCTCCCTGACGGAAAAATTCCTCCATTATTCGGTCTGTCCATTGGCGGTAGAGATGGAGTGGCTTGGTTGGATTGCTTAGATCTGCACAGTGCACCATATTCTGAAGAACCTAAAATAGATTGAACACCTGCAGTGTTATTACACGGGAGAAAACCAGCTCCTTTTCCATTTACACTTTTGGTGGCTGTGAAACAGAATCTTGAAAAGACACGTAGTGCAAGATTTATTCTGAACAGCAAAAACTTATGTGCTTGGGTGTTTCTCACACTTGCAGTAATAACCATGAATTACCTTGCTTCTGTTGCTTCTGCCTGTATAAGAAAATCTTTGAGAGAAAGACCAATCAAGTGCTGGTAATTTGAAGGGACAGCCAAAGTGTCATTTAGTCCAGACTGTCTCAGAGACTCACTCAGTATCTAACAGAGTATGCCAGAGGTAGGCAACATAAGGGGGAGTAGATGGAAGGTGGTGAGTCATGGTGTCAGAACGGACAGCTGATCTAAGCCATGCTGGAGAATAGGCAGGCCAATGTTAGCAAGAATGGAAGTTAATACAAGTGACCATTTGCAGATGAATTTTCTTACCTGAATCCTGTCTGAATAGTTATCAAGAAGTAGGACACCAGAACTGGTCACTTTTTTGGTTTCAACCATAGTTTTTAAATCAGCTAATAGGTTCATATGCTTAGACATGTCTGTTGCAAGTACCTGGAAAGAAACAAACAAATAAAAAAATCTTTGAACACATAAACAAACAGTTTTGGGGAGGGAACCTGTAACTCCTGTGTCTAAATACACTAGAAAAATCTGAGTCCTGTAAGTCATTAGCATCCAAAATAGAAAATTTTCATTTTGGTTATTTTAAGAATATGACAAAATAATTTTTCAGAGTTGTTCAGAATGATCTGATCAGCCTAAATCTATCATCAATACAGTAGCAAATTTTTAACTGTGATGGTGAAATGGCATACATGTCAGTATGAAAGCAGCTTAAAGTAGGATTATATACCTTCTAAAAAGGTATAGATGGTTGTCGAAATGGAAGAGAACTCACTATTCATGTTTGGATAAGACACGATAAACTTAAAACTTTTACTTCATTGGTTATTGATCTAATAACATGTAATTTATCTTAAAATGCTTCTGTGCTAGCACTATGGAAGAGGGACTTTCAAGCAGAACTCACAATGTCAATGACCATTTTCCTCAATGATTGCCTCTGTTTTTTGGTCAAATTCTGGAAAATGTCACAATTTTCTTCCTGCAGCAGCTTGAAGCCCACAGCTAAGTGATGATTCTCAAGTACTGATGAGTCATTGTACATCAAGGCGAGTTCAGAATCTGCAATAACAATCGCAGGGCAGAACGTTACTAAAGCCTGTGCTTCTACGAAATCCCTTAAGATTTTTCAAATTCATTACACTGATAACAAGATTTACAGATGAACTTCCAGAAACAGAGTTCCTGCTGTTCACACAATATCAAAAGTTACAGAATTAATGACTGAACACATTAACAAATCAAGGCAAAGTATGTTGCGGAAAATAAAGAAAATACCTTGCAGTGAACCATGTACACGTGCCTGGAGTGGCAAGTTAGAAAAAACACAAGGAAGGTATTTTTCAGAACACATTTTCATATCTCCATGAGGTCACATGGAAAATATTATATGCATAAAACACACCTAAACTAAAACACACTCTGACGTTTTACCTTCTCGTGCCTCCCTCCCATCACAAATACTAAAATTCTGTTGTTTAAGTCAAGTTGCAGCTATCCAGCACTCAGGCTGGGAATACACCGCTGAGGCTTTGCAGCAGGTCAGGCAGAGAGCACATATCTTCGTTTTCAATACATGTCCTTCTGCAGTTAGCTAAGGCACTCAGATGCCCAGCCAATTGGCCCTACAGGTCATTAGTCCATGACAGCTGGGTATTTTGAGAGGAGGCTGATAGGATGGTAACAGTTATGCCTCTCGTCTTTTTCTTGGAAGGTCATGTGGCTTGAAAACGCAAGCAGTGGCCTTGCCTACAGCCTCGTACTTGGCCATGGTCAAAGCCTGGTGCTGTAACGCTTCCTTCTCCAACAGAAGTATTCCTAACTCCATCACTTCGTACCGCTGTGAGAATAACATACACCTTCCTAGCAATGCCTGCGCTAAGGCCCACGTGCGAGGTCTGTCTGCTTCGACCTGCTGAATAGCCAGCTCTGACAAACAAAAGCAGTTACGACAATTTTCTGCACAGCTTTAGATTCTACCCGGGGATAACCGCACAGTCTGCTTGTGCATGTTTTAAGACACGGCTTGCAAATGAATCTGCAATAAAAAACAAATACCTTTTATGCAATCACACTTGCCATGTGTGGTATCAACTTCTATTTATTACAGCTGTTCTACCCGAAGTCTAACCTTCTATTCTACCCTTTGTCGTCTTTATCTTCTTTTACAGCAGCTTTGTTTTAAACCCCCCCTGGCTCAATAGGATGCCTATAAAAGCTCTGCTCTTCAGATTTCATTAGTCTCATTATCCATTCTCCTGCTGTCTTTCTCTCCTGTCTTGAACACATTGATCTTTTGAATTAGGAAACCCTTCCTCTACCTTTTCTTATCCTGATGGCAGCAAAACCATAATAGCAAAAGAAAAAACTAAGTGAGCGTGTCAAATGATCTCTCTTTTATCTTTCACAGAACATTTACGAAGCTTGCCTATTTGTTGTTTTTCTTACAAAGAAGGCAGGCTCTATTTAAGTTTCCTTTCAAACAGCCTCCTGATGAGCCCCAACTGCAAAACACTCAACGTTGCCAAAACACTTTGGAAGGGCTGGAGCTACAGACAGAGCTAAAATGTGCTCAACTTTGTAACAGAGGTGGAAATGGAAGGAAGTTCCCCTTGGCAATCTTTGTAACACGTTATAAGATTCAAGAGAATTTGTCTGGAAGGACAGAGTTACAGTGATCAAATAAGCAACTCCTCTGATGCTAATAAAACCTATATTTGTTTATTCTTTAATAGCATTCAAGGGCGATCAGGTTTTTAGGCAACTAAGTAAAGAGACTTTAAATCCTTAAATACAGAAATAATATCCGTGAATATCACATTAGTAATTATAAAGAGTAAGCTGAAATATGTACATACTTCAAGTAACTGTAAGTCTATTATGCTTTTAAAAAATATAGTATTATACTTCTTAGTGAAACGTTAATACATTGTAAGGTTCACTGGAAAACAAAACCAGGTGGAAGCAAATGATCTTCTAGAGGTTAGGAAAATCTAGGACTTGAGAGACTTAAATTAGATGGTCTTTATCTCTGTCTCTGTCCCTACAGTTTTTCCTTTGTACACAGAACAACTCAAAAGGGATAAAATCCCTTTGTCTCTTTCAGCTTGGCAACAGCAGTTCCAGTTAGTGGTGTTACTTGGTTGACATGGAAGCCTCCTCTATCAAAAGATGAACTGTGAAAAACAAGACGTTTCTTCTAAGCCACTAAATAAACAGCATCTGAATCACTAACTTAGCTGAATTTCTACTGTCTGCCTAGAAGCGAAAGCTTTATGTATCACCACTGGCCCCTTCAACCAGCCAGTCCCCTGCTTAAATATGAACAAATCAGTGGTTTCCCTGTAGCATGTCGGAGACATCACTATATCCTTATATTTAATTTCTGATTAAACAAACAAATAAAAACTTTACTTGTATATGCCCAGTCTTAAGAAATATGTATTACACACTGTTTTGTACATGAAGCTTGATTCGCTCTCTTGCTATACCACACTGTTGAACTGTACTGGTGACCAGTAAAGCACCAGAAATCTAGAGTCAATCCCAACCCTCCTCCTTGCAGATAAGTCACCAAATTGAATTTCACTACAGGGCAGCCCTCAGGACATTAAGGCAAATAAAATTAGATGCAGGCTGAACTGGACTGGAGGTCTTATTTGAATGTACAGCAGCTATCAGTCAGAAGAGGAGCTCCTTTCTTCAAACTGTACTGCTGATTTGGGGTCATATTATTTTAGCCCAGCGCAACAGATTCACCCAAGCACAGGAATGACAGTATCTATAAATGTGCAACCAGATGGGTCAAATACACAACCCTTCATATGTTTCCATTTCTGTAGCTTTTTCTTCTTCTGTGCTTAGGCTATTTGTATTATTTCAACTTTTGTACTTCTGCAACAGTTATTGTAAAAGGAGAAGTTGTCGGGCAGCAAAAGAAATAACATTGTATGACGGATCTTGCACTGACCTACAATGTGCTACCCACTTATAGCAGTAACATACACCACTGAAATCAAAAAGCCATTCAGTAAATGTGTCATGATCAGGTTCAACGAGGCTAATAGTGTTTTTCTTCTAGCAAAAGATTAAAGAGGGTGGGAGAGGTTCATATAGTGCTGCAGAGAACAGCCTTGAGAAATGCAGCACGAGTACAATGGGTTTCAAATTTGGAGATGATATTAGGGTCTCATTTCATTAGGGCTTTTTCCTCCACACATGGAGTGCCAGCAGGAGCAGCAAGAGACTCTTAAAAAAAAGAAAAATAAGAGGTGTGCCATAGCCTGCAGGGACAAACTGAGAAAATTCAATCCAAGAGGCTCAAGTACACCGAGATCAGAAGCCAATTACAGCAGCCAGGGAGAGACAGAGATGGCCTGTCAGTCTGTTTGCTAAAAAGAAAATTTTCTGAATTTCTTAAAAGTGTATGGCTATCCTTGGTCTTATCATATGCTTCCAATATAAACCCATAAACTTTTGTCCTCCTTTTTTTGATTTTTTATTTAATCTTCCTTCATTTTTTTTTCCTACAATTCTATTTATTTAATTTAAACCAACTAATTTCCAGAAGAGACTACATCCAATACATTGAAATAGTGCCAAGATTATAGTTCATGTCTTAGTAACTCTTGCTAGAGGGTACCATGTATACTATTTCTAAAGTTACAAGAAATGCAAAGTAATATCCAATTTAAAATACAAACACCTATCTATTTACTGAGAAAAGGTACAGACAGAAAGAAACAAGGAAGGAGTTTGGTATTTTCGGGTGCTGTGTGCAGACCTTGCAAAAAATTTTTGAGAAAACCAGTGAACATCCAACTTACTTGTGTTGATAAGAAACTGGTTTGAAACCCCAGGATGATCTACATCATGTATTGCACTGGCAAAAATTGCTGCAAGTATCTCCAAATCAGTGAACACTGCCTAGAAAATCATGAAACAGAAACGACAATCACTAATCAATGAAAAAGTGTTTTCAATAAAAAGGTCTCTACTTTGAATCTAGATCTGAACGAGCTAAATACATTTGAAATGTACCAGGGATATCACAACTTTTTGTAAAATCGTCAATTAATGTAGAATTTAATAAATATTTCAAGTTTGGCCAAAGTACACAATCCTTACTTCACACTGATGACATCACTAAATTCCATAACAACTGAAGTTTTTTCAGCTTCAGTCTGCAAATAAATCCACCTTTAAGTTAAGTACAGATTAGATCATTAAGTAAAGGTTTCAAACTGTAAGCGTGAATTGAAGTAACAAATCTCAGCCTGACTCCTATATATTGACCTATACTTGACAGATGCACATCTCCTAAATGATGCTAAAGGAAATGGTCACAGACAGACCTCAAGGCATCTTAGATTAGATCATTAAGCACAGGTTTCAAACTGTAAGTGTGAATTGAAGTTACAAATCTCAGCCTGACTCCTATATATTGACCTATACTTGAAAGATGCACATCTCCTAAACGATGCTAAAGGAAATGGTCACAGACAGACCTCAAGGCATCTTACTTAACATTTACTGATTTTTCTTCTGTATGAGATTATTAGGAAGACAGGAAGAGAGGACTGCAATGGGCGTGACATGTCACTGAGCCCAGTCCCCTGTTGTCACAAGCATCCACATTATATAAATGCTTTCATAATTGATCAAGAACAGCTCAGAAGTGTGTAGGTCAGTAGTGGCACAGGGCAGACATTGCTATTTTAATGGCTAAAGCTCTGTTGAGAACAAGGCCATGAAAAACTGTTGATGTGGAAAAAAACCCCAAAATACTACTGACAACCAGTTCAGCTGTTTGGTGAACCCAGCAGTGATTTAAGAACATAATCTGATCTTCCTTCTTGTGATAAAGAATATTTTTCCCCAGAGAATTCCTGAGTCTTTGAAGATTGAGACTTGCCAACAGTCTTCAGGTTCACCTATAACCCTTTTGTTAAGAAGAAGGTAAGGCAGAAGCATTCAGTAACATGACAAGTTGGTCATTATGAACAAGAGTCAAAATACACCCCTCCTTGAAAATAAGGGCAAATTCTTTTGAACTACTAAAATTTCAA